GACCTTAAAGGGCAACTGTATCAAAAAAATAAATAACACCCCCTCTTAAAATCCATTTCCACCTTTTGCAGTGCTGATGTACATGTGTGCACATTTTCATGACTCGCATTGTAAGCTTTCTTACATTTTTATGAACTTATTATTAGGCCTGAAACCAAGAAACTCTAAAATTTTCTCCACAGGGAATTTAGTCTGACACCGGGGTCGGATTGTAAAGCAGGCTGTAAAAAGCTGCCCCCACCCTGTGATTCTGTGTAACACCATCACTAAACACCAGTTCTGCCTTTGCACACAATACACTGTCCAGGGGAGAAGGGGGGTTGCCACTATAAATACTATTGAATGGGAGGAGAAAGCTCAGTTGCAACTTACACATACTGCTTGCAAAACACAAAGGCAGCCATTTCCATTAGGATATGAAGAGGAAAGCTAACAAAAAAATGTATGTTTCTGTGTTCATATACAGCTACTGCATATGCCTGCTTCATTTTTACTTGGTGTTTAAAAAAACAAAACATGCCAGCAATAAAGTACCTCCGCAAGGCTGGCAATGGGCTTTAAAAGGAGATCTATGAGGTGAGTGATTTTCATTCACCCTCATAGTTAGAGCCGACGTGCGACAATGAGACTGTCAAGTCGGCTCTATTGATCGGGAAGTGAGCGAACATATACAGTCGCTCACTCACTTTCCGATCATCTCCCTGCAGAGAGCGGTGACAGTCAGTCCAAGGGGATTCCCTCTCCAATCCTCCAGCTCTGACTGGACGAACGGGGAGAGGGCAGGCACAGTAGGCTCTGCCCATCAGCCAGCTGGGTAGATCTCGACAGTATTGTCGGGGATTCCTCCCGGCTGTGGTGCTCTCAATATATAGCTCGCTGTATACTGAGCTTTGGGTAATGGGAAGAGGTAAGTATATGTCCTCCCGTGACCCTTAAGAGAACTATAAATAGGTTAAAAAGGATAAAAAGGTTACCCCATAGTTCTCTTTTAAATATCACTACTCTCCTTAAATGCAGCACACCCATGTGACACACTGCTGCAGGCCACCCACAGCATTCACGCACAAAGCTAACTCCTACTCTTCTCTCCTGAAGGCTGCAAAGAGCAGTGCCATGTAATGGTGTGGGTCAGAACTCTGTAGCATTCTCATGAGTCCAGGGTGGGGGGGAGGGCCCTTGGTACCCTAGGCTCACAGGAAGTTGCTTGAATGATGCTACAGTTCAGATGGCGCAATGGTGGACAGTTCCCATTCAGTTACAGCACCCATTTTATATTATATAACTGCATCCCTGGAGTTTTGAAACTCAGCTTTAAACCACTAGACAGTACAGATTCTTCTCCACAACTTAGAATAAAATATAAGCATTTCACATTTCATTTGAAAGAAATGTTCAACACAGCAAATATAGTTCAAAGTTTTGGTAGATTGTTTAAAAAATGACCTGCATTTTGTTTTTAGTACTACTTCAAAAATAAAATGACATTTATGTCCTGAAAGAAAGGGATGCTTATATGCAAATCACTCCTTTGCAATAGAAGTCTTAGCTGCTCTTTACAATGATTAATAATACAACATGAAATACAGCTTCCTTTCAAAAGATTTAATCTGTGCCATTAATGCAGCATTCAGGTCCTGCTCATTTCCTCTTGTGATAGATCAGGTATGGTATATTCATACTATGCTCAGTGTTTGTGTGCTGAAAGCTTATCTAACAGCAGTAAGCACAGAAACAAAGCACAGCTAAAATAATTCCACAAAGCTGGTTATTTTAACTCATGCCACTTCATTCATTCAACAGAATATTGAAACAATACATGGTTGGATGAGTTTGGTATGGAGAACCTTGAGTGGCCTGCACAAAGCCTTGACCCTGAACCCTATAAACACCTTTGTTATGAATTGGAATGTTGATTGGGTGGAAGGTTTTCTTGTCTAACCTCTAGCAGACCTTACAAATACTTGCTTTGCTAAGTGGACACAATTTCCCACAAACACACACCAACCTACTGTGAAAATCCTTCCCAGAAGGTGAATACTATTATAGTGCAAAGGGCAACTCAATATTAAAGTGATATTTAAGTTAAAATGTTACATTAGAGTCCAGGGTGGGGGGGAGGGCCCTTGGTACCCTAGGCTCACAGGAAGTTGCTTGAATGATGCTACAGTTCAGATGGCGCAATGGTGGACAGTTCCCATTCAGTTACAGCACCCATTTTATATTATATAACTGCATCCCTGGAGTTTTGAAACTCAGCTTTAAACCACTAGACAGTACAGATTCTTCTCCACAACTTAGAATAAAATATAAGCATTTCACATTTCATTTGAAAGAAATGTTCAACACAGCAAATATAGTTCAAAGTTTTGGTAGATTGTTTAAAAAATGACCTGCATTTTGTTTTTAGTACTACTTCAAAAATAAAATGACATTTATGTCCTGAAAGAAAGGGATGCTTATATGCAAATCACTCCTTTGCAATAGAAGTCTTAGCTGCTCTTTACAATGATTAATAATACAACATGAAATACAGCTTCCTTTCAAAAGATTTAATCTGTGCCATTAATGCAGCATTCAGGTCCTGCTCATTTCCTCTTGTGATAGATCAGGTATGGTATATTCATACTATGCTCAGTGTTTGTGTGCTGAAAGCTTATCTAACAGCAGTAAGCACAGAAACAAAGCACAGCTAAAATAATTCCACAAAGCTGGTTATTTTAACTCATGCCACTTCATTCATTCAACAGAATATTGAAACAATACATGGTTGGATGAGTTTGGTATGGAGAACCTTGAGTGGCCTGCACAAAGCCTTGACCCTGAACCCTATAAACACCTTTGTTATGAATTGGAATGTTGATTGGGTGGAAGGTTTTCTTGTCTAACCTCTAGCAGACCTTACAAATACTTGCTTTGCTAAGTGGACACAATTTCCCACAAACACACACCAACCTACTGTGAAAATCCTTCCCAGAAGGTGAATACTATTATAGTGCAAAGGGCAACTCAATATTAAAGTGATATTTAAGTTAAAATGTTACATTTCCAATGTTGATTAAATCATTTACAATGGATGCTGCTCCATGAGGTTCGCATTTTAGTTTGCTGCAGAATAAGCTGGTCTCCTGAGCACTGGCCCTGATCTCTTGATTTAGAGGGTCTCCTCTCTCTTGCAGGGTCCTATGGAGCCACCCTTGTGTGTGTCTTAAATTGTCTACCCTGCTCCTGGGTGATGCCCTGATCCTTCATGCAGATTCTAGCCACGTACCAACCATTCCCCTATATGCTATGAATGCCCTCCCTCAACTCACCCCTCATTTGACAGCACTTGAGCTTGATAAATGGTTGCTCGGGTAGCAATCACTTTTGTGGGAGGACAAGGGGAATGTCACATGTTCGCCTATATCCTTAAGTGACAAGATCTTTGCAGATGCTGCAGTCAAGATCAGGGCAGCGGATGCAAGCAGAGGAGAAGCACTAAAACTGGGAAGTTAAAGATTAACACTGATCAAGCCTTGATCATCATCTATGCCACCACTGATGGTATTTTTTTTTTTCTGTAAAATTTGAAACGCTCTTTGTGTCCCCCTGGTGACGAGGGAGCATGGAGCCGCCTTCCCAGCCAATCAGGAAGCATGTAATGGTTCTCCGCCCAGCTTCCCGATACCGGAGGTTTCGGGATAGGCATCGGGAGCACGCGCCTAAATACTCGGTATCGGCACTGATACTAGTATCGGTAACAGTGCATCTCTTAAGTCCACTCTTGGGTAAGAACTTGGGGTCAAATTATTCAGACAGGGTTGTGCTGTGACTGTGGGGGTCAAAGTTGCTTGAATACACTGGTATTTAGTGCACTCCACATTCTATCAAAAGAGAAAAAAAATGTCCTGGCTCTACAGGTGAAACTCGATTAGAATATCGTGCAAAAGTAATTGCAGTAATTGCAGTAATTGCTGCAAAAGGGGCCCAAACCAAGTACTGAGTACATATGCATGCTTGTACTTTTCAGAGGTCCAATATTGTTCTATGTACAATCCTTGTTTTATTGATTGCATGTAATCTACTTTTTTGAGGTTGTGGATTTGGGGTTCTTGGGGTTTTCATGAGCTGTAAGCCATAATCATCACAATTATGACAAATCACGGCTTGAATTATCTTGCTTTGCATGTAATGAGTCTATCTCATATATTAGTTTCACCTTTTAAGTTGCATTAGTTAAATAAATGAACTTTGCACGATATTCTGACTATTCGAGTTTCACCTGTACATGCATTTTAAGTGAGTGGGGCGGACTGGTACTAAAAACAGCAATTCCTACACGAGACAGATTCCTTGATGCTCCCTGCAATGTAAAACCGAACACAGCACATACTTCCTAATACCATTAAGGTAGCAAACTTTACATTCACTTCAAAGCATTTAAAAGTACATAAGGCAGTAACTAATATTCATAGTAAATAAATCAAGTTCAAAGCATGAAGTGATATCATAAACATTCATAGAAATACTTTCGTTACAGCCAATAATGGCAGCATCTTTATTAATGCTCTGGTAAACTAGCATGGCATGTTGTGCCTACCGAATAGAGATGTCTATTTCAGAAAAGAAACTTTGCCAACAGTAATTTGCATTTAGAAGAGTCTGTCTGTAAACTATATAAAAAGCACGAATATCACAAATCTGAGGGTGAAAGCTTGAACACTGCTCAAGGCAGCTCAGGAGAGACGGCAGAAATCTGAAATGGATTTTGGCTGACAGTAACGTGTTAAAAAAACAAGAAAATTGGGGAAAAAATGGCTTTGCACGGAAATTCATATAAAAACCAGCAGTATTTCTATTCATTCCTTAAAATTGTGATGGGGTATGTTAAAAAGCCATTGGTGTGTGAGGAAAATGCAGATGAACGTGCAGACAATTTATGCAGTTCATAAAGGTAGTTATTGTTTCTCTGCCAGAGCGTGGAGAAAGGCTACAGGGAAGAGGAAAATCCAATTACTTACCCACAAATAATATGTAAACTGCAGTGCAAAAATAGCAATGCCTTCATTGTCAAAAGATCCAGCTACTGATCGGGATATGTAGCCTGGCACTATAGCAATGAAGCAGGCAGCTAGAAGCCCTGCTCCCTGGTTCCACAGTTCTCGGGTGAGCAGGAAGGTGGAAATTGATGTAAGGCCGCTGAAAACTGGTGCTAGAAACACACATACATCTCGGATGTGGACTGTGATGTTCAGCATATTTAATATCCAATGAATAAGGCCAGCTGTCACCATCAATCCTGGGTACACCTGTAGGGGAAAATGATAAAAGTTTAGTAAGGAAACCACTTTATTATCCAACTAGTGTATGGAATTTATTTCAAAACACACCATCCCCCATCTTATGCTTTAGAATAAGGCTGGCCATACACTGCTCTTTTCCTCATTCAACCCGCAGGCTGAATGAGAAAAGTAGAGCAGATTCCTCCATCAACACTACCAGTGTGTCGATCGAGGAATCCCCGCTGTTTGCATTGCATTCTGACAGTAGTCGCCAGCTACCGTCAGGATACCTGAACAGAGCCAGCAGCTCATTGGCGGCCGTGAAGCCGGCCGAAAGGGTGCCGACAGCGGCACAGACAGTGCAAATTTTGTCCGATCCTCTAATCATCTCTGAATTAGTACCAACACTGTCCTTCTTTCTGAAGGGTAGTTACTTTTGTTCCCCATTGTCCATGTGTGTGTTGTAAAGTAGCCACCACGCCAAGCTCACTCCCATGATGGACTACAATCCTCCATTTAGTGTACTAATTTGTATTGAGATTGTCCCTCACAGGAGTGAGCTTGGAGTGGTGGCTACTTTGCAACACACACAGGGACCATGGGGAAGCAAAAGTAGCTCCCCTCAAGAAGTAAGGACAGTGTCCGCACCAATTCAGATAGGATTTGAGGATCTACAGGATCTACAGCCCAGTGTACAAATATAGTAATAGTATACACAAATAAACTATATTTTTGTTAATAGTTAATGTACTTGAATGTATTTTTATGATTTAATGCCCAAGTTTAATGTCACTTTAACAATACAATGAATACAGATTTTATACTCTACTTCTAAGGCAAATTAAAAACAGTATAAAAATACAAATGAGTATGAAGAATTTAAATGCATCATAGTACAATTAAATAGGTTCTGGAGGTTTCAAATTGTACCACATCTATAATTAACAGCCTCAGATATCTAGATGACTTTTTTTAATCCTCTAATGTCCCATTTAATTACTGCAAATCATCTAGGTTAAAAAGTTAAATGTTCTCCATTCAGAAAGAAAATGCTGTTTGTTTTAAACCAATCCATTAACTAAAATGGTTTAAGGAATTGAATAAAGATGTCCAATTCCACTTGACTATTGTCTTATTACTAAAATAATAAAATTAAAATAAATGTTTTAAAAAATGCAAGATAATTTTTTTTATGTTTAAGAAGAACTATAGCCTTTATATTCATATAAAGACAATAATTATGTATATATACACATACGCACACACACATTTTAAATATAAGACCTATGTAAATCTGAGCAATTCAT